TCTGTTTTTCTCTTTTTCTTTCTGTCTCTGTCTCTTTCTGTTTTTCTGTCTGTCTCTGTCTCTCTTTCTCTCTTTTTCTTTCTGTCTCTGTCTCTGTCTCTCTCTGTTTTTCTCTTTTTCTTTCTGTCTCTGTCTCTTTCTGTTTTTCTGTCTGTCTCTGTCTCTCTCTCTTTTTCTCTCTTTTTCTTTCTGTCTCTTTCTCTGTCTCTCTTTCTCTCTTTTTCTCTCTTTCTTTGTCTCTATCTCTGTCTCTCTCTGTTTTTCTCTTTTTCTTTCTGTCTCTGTCTCTCTGTTTTTCTGTCTGTCTCTCTTTTTCTCTCTCTCTCCTCTCTTTCTTTCTGTCTCTGTCTCTCTCTCTCTCTGTGTCTCACTCTGTCTCTGCCTCTCACTCTGTCTCTCTTTCTTGCTCTGTCTATCTCTTTCTTTTTCTGTCTCTTTCTCTGTGTCTTTCTCTCTCTCTTTTTGCTCTATACATATACATGTATTATGCTTTTATCAGCGGGAATAAAAGAATAAAAGAGAAATGCCAAAAGAGAAAACAAAACGTACATCCGACAGTCACAATAGCAAAAAAGTGTGTACATAAAAGGAGAGGGGGGGGTTGAAATGAAAAACAAAACGATCCAAACAACACAACATCAAAAATGTGTGTATGTGTATGTATATATATGTATATATATATATATATGTATATATAAAATCTGTCCATCCCCCCTCTCTCTCCATCTTATCTAATCCATCCATCTCTATCTATCTATCTATCTATCTATCTATCTATCTATCTATCTATCTATCTATCTATCTATCTATCTATCTATCTATCTATCTCATCTCTATATCATCTCTATTGATTGTTTATCCCTATATCTGTCATCTATGTTTCTGTTTATTTCTGTATCTCTCTCTATATATGTGTGTGTGTGTGTGTGTGTATGTTTTCTGAGGTTTTCGCGGGTGTTTGTATGTAGGTCTTTGGTTATTCGGGTTTTCTCCCGTGTAAAATTGGAAGTGTCTTGGCGACGTTTCGACGAAGTCCCATTCGTCATCTTCAGGCTGGTGTCTTCAGCTTCGTGCTTCTAGGAGTAATGTGTGATCGCAGCTGTTTCTTCCTTTTAACTGCCCGTGGGGTTTGAACTGATTGGGTGAGAGCTGTCCTACCCAATCAAGGAGTATATGAAATCCCATGCACCGCCTGCCCCACCACATATATCGGACAAACCAACAGAAGAATAAATGCACGCATTGAAGAACACAAGAACTCAGTCAGAAAAGAGGAACCAACTTCTTCCCTGGTCCAACACCTTAAAGCCACAGGACATAAAATTGACTTTAAAAAGACCAGAACTATTGCCAAAACTGAACACTTTAACAACAGAATAATCAGAGAAGCCATCGAGATAGAAAAACGCCCACACAGCATGAATAAACGAGATGATACCTCCCACCTACCAGCCATTTGGAAACCCGCCCTTATTGACAAACGAGTCCCTAACACAAAGAATGACACCAGACCCACACTCACGAAAACCACACAGGAGGTCACCACCACACATCCACGCAAAAAGCAAACCCTAACCCACACAGATGATGAGGCACGACCACAAACTAGAAGCCAGTCCACAGCTGCATCATTAGCCACTTTAAACCCCTCCAATCCATACATGAAGCAAACTGACACCCACCATAAAGATGTGGCACGACCACGAACACGAAGCCAAACAACAGCAATGAAGCTCACCATCTCTAATCCCCCTGCAACTCAGACTAACCTGAGCACAACAAAGCCCCCAGCCAAACAGAACACTCCCCCAGCCAATCAGAGCACAGCCAACCCCCCATCCAATCAGAGCACAGCCAAGCAATAGCGTCCCCAATTTCCCCCCCCCCAAATGGATGTATCCATAAGCATTTCCTCTCCGTCTCAAAGGGGGGGAGATGGGGGGGAGACAGCCCGAACACCCCCCGGATGTTTCGTTAGGCCTCAAAACGCTCCAGTATTTAGGGCCTGAATTGGAGCTGGGAAAGGGGGCCCCGGTGAGCTGTTTGCCCTCTTCGGCAGCGCCCGATGGGTTTCGTAGTGCCTCGACGCCGTTGGTTCAATGCAGACTTTGTTTTTTGTTTTGTTTTGTCTCCCCCCCCCCCCGAAAAAATTTCAGTGTCTGAATTTTGATCCCGTGGACCCCCGAGGATGCTGCGACGGTCGCAGGGGTGGAAAAACGGTCCTTGGTCCCCGGCGGCAGCACCCTGGTCGTCCCTCTGAGCGGTCGCACAGCCGCGGCGGTGGCGCCGACGACGTCGTGAGTCGAGGACCCGCAGGCTAAAAAGATTTGTCCGTCCACGGAAAGTCCCCGTTCTCGTCTCTCCGCTGGGAAGGTGAGCCGGGAGGGTGCGACTTGGGCGGCTGGCCGCCCGATGGGTTTTGTAGTTCCTCCCTCCAGCAGTGGAACGCAGGTGTGTTTTTGTTTGCTTGTTTTCCTCCCCCTAAGCAGGTGACGTTTGAGCTGGTCGTCCTCGTCTTCCTCTCCAAGGAGCTCCGAAAAAAAAAGTTCACAAAGGGGTCCCTGGAGGTTGTGATGGAGAACTACGAGCTGGTCACTTCACTGGGTAAGAGCCAAACTGGGGGTGGGGGGGTTCCTCGGGGCAGAGGGAGACACCTCGCTCGGTGTCCGGGCAGTGCACTGGAGCTGGGTTCGAGGGACGCTCTTTCCCGTAGACCAGCTGCTTTCAGGGATGGGCGACAGGCGCCAGACTCGGGGGGGAGGGGGGGTTTCAAAGGGCAGAGGGTCTTTCCTGCCAAACACAGACCGGGGCAGGGGGGGAGAGTGTCAGGGTCTCCCCTGGGGCAGCGGACCCCATGGCTACCTCCTGCGTCCGCCTGCCAAAGAGTCGAGGAATGGAGAGGGTGTTTTTGGACGGTTGAGCCTGGGGCACGGGTGGCGTTGCCCAGCTTGGTAAGGAGACGTCTGCAAGGAAGTGGCCAAGCTCACAGAGCAGCAGGGACCCCTAGTCCTCCTCCCCTCCCTCGCCCTGTCCTCCTCCCCCTCCTCCTTCTCCTTTTCAAACCCCTCTCCTTTCTTGCACTGATGGCGTTACCTAGTTTGGTAATGAAAGGTCCTCAAGAAAACAACCAAGCTCAGGACCCAGGACCCTCACAGTTGTTCCTCCTCCTCCTCCTCCTCCTCCTCCTCCAACCTCACTCCCTTCCAGCACTGATGGTGCTGCCTAGTTGGGTCACGAGATGTCTGCAAGAAAACCACCCAGCTCAGAGAGCACTGAGGACCCCGCAGTCTCTGTCTCCTCCTCCTCCTCCTCCTCCTCCTCCTCCTCCTCCTTCAACCTCGCTCCCTTCCAGCACTGATGGTGTTACCTAGTTGGCTCACGAGACATCTGCAAGAAAACCACCCAGCTCAGAAAGCACCGAGAACCCCGCAGTCTCTGTCTCCTCCTCCTCCTCCTCCTCCTCCTCCTCCTCCTCCCCCATAGGTGGGACAGCTGGCTATTTTCCACCCCGCCCCCCGGCATTTGCGAGGCGGTGACCCGCCCGGTTCTGACCTTTTCCCAGGCTATCCGGTTCTCAAACCCGATCTCCTGTCTCGGATCGAGCGGGTGGGAGAGCAGTGCCTCGGGGACCAGCTGGATTCCAGCCGAGGGATCCCGACCGATCCGTGTGCAGGTACGTTCGGCGGGGCCGATCCCACGCCGACAAAACGCCCATCCGCGCGGGATAACGCCATTGTGGGTTTTTTTTAAAATTTTATTTGGCTAGCGCAGACCCTGCGATTGTCGGGCCCAATTTAACCGAAGGACAGAATAATAGAAGGGACCCCTGGAGGTCTTCTAGTCCAGCCCCTGCCCCCCCCCCGCTCCAGCCTGAGACCCTTACAGAATCGCAGGCTTTGGGCCAATCGCCAGGAGACGGGGAGTTCTAGTCCCGCCTTAGGCGTGAAAACAGGCTGGGTGACTTTGGGCCAATCACCAGGAGACGGTGAGTTCTAGTCCCGCCTCAGGTGTGAAACCCGGCTGGGTGACTTTGGGCCAATCACCAGGAGATGGGGAGTTCTAGTCCCGCCTCAGGCAGGAAAGACGGCTGGGTGACTTTGGGCCAATCGCCAGGCGACGGGGAGTTCTAGTCCCGCCTCAGGCATGAAAGCCATCTGGGTGACTTTGGGCCAATCACCAGGCGACTGGGAGTTCTAGTCCCGCCTTAGGCATGAAAGCCATCTGGGTGACTTTGGGCCAATCACCAGGAGACTGGGAGTTCTAGTCCCGCCTCAGGTGTGAAACCCGGCTGGGTGACTTTGGGCCAATCACCAGGAGACGGAGTTCTAGTCCCGCCTTAGGAATGAAAGCTGGCTGGGTATTTTTGGGCCAATCACCAGGAGACTGGGAGTTCTAGTCCCGCCTCAGGCATGAAAGCCATCTGGGTGACTTTGGGCCAATCGCCAGGAGACGGGGAGTTCTAGTCCCGCCTCAGGCAGGAAAGCCGGCTGGGTGATTTTGGGCCAATCACCAGGAGACGGGGAGTTTTAGTCCCGCCTCAGGCAGGAAAGCCGGCTGTGTGACTTTGGGCCAATCACCAGAAGACTGGGAGTTCTAGTCCCGCCTCAGGCGTGAAAGCCATCTGGGTGACTCGGCCAATCACCAGGAGACGGGGAGTTCTAGTCCCGCCTCAGGCAGGAAAGCCGGCTGGGTGACTTTGGGCCAATCACCAGGAGACGGGGAGTTCTAGTCCCGCCTCAGGTGTGAAACCCGGCTGGGTGACTTTGGGCCAATCACCAGGAGACTGGGAGTTCTAGTCCCGCCTTAGGCGTGAAAGCTGGCTGGGTGACTTTGGGCCAATCACCCGGCGATGGAGAGTTGTAGTCCCGCCTCAGGCGTGAAAGCCGATTGGCTGACTTTGGGCCACTCTCTCTCTCAGCCCAGCCCACCTAAAACAGGGTGTTCACAAATCCAGGCTGCCTCGTGGGCTTGGAGGCACCCCGGGGCCGGGGTGGGTGGGACCAGCCTCTCTTCCCCCCTCCTTCCAGAACATTCCGTGGAGAAGATCAACGGGCTCACCCGTTCCTCTTGGGATCTCTTTCTCTCCCCCCCTCACCCCCCCAGGCTACCGTTTCTTCAAACCCGAGAGCCTTTCGTGGATCGAGCGCTGGGAGGAACTCGGGGTGACCGACCGTCAGAAGCTGGAGGAAGGCAAGTTGTGCGCAGGCGCCTGCCAAGGTAGGCAAGGGCAGGGAGCGCCTGGTTTCCCGCCGGACCCCGCAGTCGTCGTCGTCGCCGTCCTCCTCCTCCTCTCCGCAAACCACCTCTCCTTCTAGCACTGATGATGTTACCTAGCTGGGTCGTGAGACGTCTGCTAAACACCCGTCCGTCCCCCCAAGCTCAGAGAGCCACCAAGGAGCCCACAGTCCTCCTCCTCCTCCTCTCTGAAACCCCCCCTCCTTTCTAGCACTGATGACGTTCCCTAGTTGGGTCACGAGACGACTGCAAGGAAAACCGCCCAGCTGGGAGCTCACCAAGGACTCCACAATTGAGGGGGTCACTGAGTGATTTTTGAGCTGGGCCTTTTCTGGTTTCAGAGAGAAGAAAGGGAAGGGAGATTGATTACACACACAGACACACACACACACACACACACAGAGACAGTTCGGCCAGCCAGGCCCTTGAATTGAATAGAATGGGAGGGCATTGAGTGCATTGAATTGAATTGAATTGAAATGCATTGAATTGCATTACATTGAAATGCATTGAATCGCATTAAATTGAAATGCATTGAATCGAATTGAAATGCATTGAATCGCATTACATTGAAATGCATTGAATCGCATTAAATTGAAATGCATTGAATCGAATTAAATTGAAATCATTGAACTGAATTAAATTGAAATGCATTGAATTGCATTGCATTGAACTAAACTGAATTAAAATGCACTGAATTGCATTGCATTGAACTGAATTGAATTAAATTGAAATGCATTGAATTGAATTAAATTGAAATGCATTGAATTGAATTAAATTGAAATCATTGAACTGAATTAAACTGAAATGCATTGAATTGCATTGAAATGAATTGAATTAAATTGAAATGCATTGAATTGAATTGAAATGCATTGAATTGAATTGAAATCATTGAATTGAAATGCATTGAATTGAATTAAATTGAAATGCATTGAATTGAATTGAAATGCATTGAATTGAATTAACTTGAAATGCAATGAATTGAATTAAATTGAAATGCATTGAATTGTATTAAATTGAAATGAATTGAATTGAACTGAAATGCATTGAATCAAATTAAATTGAAATCCTTGAACTGAATTAAATTGAAATGCATTGAATTGCATTGCATTGAACGGAATTGAATTAAATTGAAATGCATTGCATTGAACTGAATTGAGTTAAATTAAATTGAAATGCATTGAATTGAATTAAATTGAAATGCATTGAATTGAATTAAATTGAAATCATTGAATTGAATTAAATTGAAATGCATTGTTCAATTAAATTGACATTGAACTGAATTAAATTGAAATGCATTGAATTACATTGCATTGAACTGAATTGAATTAAATTGAAATGCATTGAAACGCATTGCATTGAAATAAAATCATTGAATTAAATTGAAATCATTGAATTAAATTGAAATGCATTGAATTGAATTAAATTGAAATGCATTGAATTGAATTGAAATCATTGAATTGAAATGAAATGCATTGAATTGAATTGAAATGCATTGAATTGAATTGAATTGAAATCATTGAATTGAATTCAATTGAAACGCATTGAATTGAATTCAATTGAAATCATTGAATTGAATTGCATTGAACTGAATTGAATTGCATTGAATTCTTTATTTGGCCAAGCGCGATTAGACACGCCAGAAATTTGCCTCCAGCGCATGCAAAGCAATAGAGAGAATAATCACAATATCAATAAAAGCGGGAATATAAGATAATATAAAGGAGAAATAATATTTGACTTACTACCACAATTGAGCCCAAAATTTCCCTCGCAAAGCGAGACAATCATGAGGTAAATTTTGCCCCATTTTACCACCTTTCTGGCCACGGTCGTTCAGTGAACCGCTGCAGTTGTTTGGGGTGTGAGGACTGACTGGTTAAAGATGTTGAACTAAAGCCGACAGCCCAGGTTCGACGTCTGAGCTCCGTGGATGGGGCGAGCTCTCGTCCTCACCTCAGCTCCTGCCTGCCTAGTTCGAAAGCACGTAAATGCGAGCAGACAAATAGGTACCACTTCTCCGGGAAGGTATCATCGTCCTGTCCACCTTTGTCATAGAGCCATGCCGGCCGCGTGACATCGGCGAGTCTTCGGACAACGGCAGCTTCCTTGAGCAGGAAACCGGAAACGAGCGCCACGCCCTAGAGTCGGCCACGAGTGTGGGGGACACCATTACCTTTTACGTAGACCTTAGTCGGAAAGTTGTGGAAAATGAAACAACATCAAATACACTAGACAGGCGATCCCCCGTCCTTTCTGACTTGACGGCATGGCGCCCGGGGTGGATGATTTCGTGTTTGCGGCATGCACGCATGCTGGAGAGCCTGTCACTCAAACACGAGGGGAACGTCACGGGCAAGCAGGAGAATTGGTGCGCTTGCATATGCCATTGCTCGCTGGGTGTGTGCCATTGCTCGCCGGTAGTGTGCCGCAGCCCGAGGGTTAGGAACCCCCTGCGCCATTTCATTTCTTTTTTTGTGTCTCCCCTCCCTCCTTTTTGTCTACTCCGGAGCAGCCGCTGGACGCAGCAAAGCCATCAAGGAAGAAGAGGGCGGCCAGAAGGGCTTTGTGGCAAGCTTGGAGCGTTACCAGCTCTTTCCCGAGAGTTCCCGGGCCGGGCTCTTCCTAGCCCCCAATGCCGGTCAACTGAGAACCCAGACCCGGGTCAAGAAAGAGGAAGCGGCCTCCTGCGAGCCCAGCCTCGGCGGCCCCGGGCGCCCCTCCCAGGGCCTGGGCTCCGGCCCCTTCACCTGCGTGGTGTGCGGCAAGTGCTTCCGACAGAAGCAGGGGCTGATCACCCACGGGCGCATCCACACCGGCGAGAAGCCCTACCCATGCCTGGAGTGCGGCAAGCGTTTCCGCCAACGCCCCAACCTGCTGACCCACCAGCGGGTCCACACCGGCGAGCGCCCCTTCCCCTGCCTGCGCTGCGGCAAGCGCTTCAGCCAGAAGGCCAACCTGGCGGCCCACCAGCGCACCCACGCGGTGCAGGAGGGGCTGATCGCGCCCGAGCCCAAGGTGCCGGTGCCGCGGGGCAGCCGCTCCACCGAGAAGCCCTTCCCCTGCAGCGTCTGCGGCAAGAGCTTCAGCCAGCGGCCGAACCTCATCACCCACCAGCGCATCCACACCGGCGAGAAGCCCTTCCCCTGCACCGAGTGCGGGAAGCGCTTCAACCAGCGGGCCAACCTCATCACCCACCGGCGCATCCACTCGGGGGAGCGCCCCTTCCCCTGCGCCACCTGCGGGCGGCGCTTCAGCCAGAAGGGCAACCTGGCGGCCCACCAGCGCACCCACTCTCAGCAGCGGCCCCACGCCTGCTCCTGCTGCCCCAAACGCTTCAAGGGGGAGTCGGCGCTGCGCGCACACCAGCGTACCCATCGGCAGGTGCTGGGCCCCGATCCACTGACTAGCACTCTCCTGGCCGCACCTGCCCTACAACAAGCCCTCCCAGGGGACCCTGCTTCAGCTGCCCAGCGGGCCACGCCGGTCCCCCGCCCAGATCTGCCCGGAGACCCCTCTCCCAGTGTCCACCGACCGGCCCCCTCCGGGCAGCACGGGACCCCTCACGGGCAGAGTCTTCCCGCGGACCCAGCCCCTGGCCCGCACACGGCCGGCCCCTCGGGCCACCTCCAAGGAGTGTCCCCCGGCTCGGAGCAAGGCCCGAAGCTGAGCGCCCCGCCCACCGTTCTGGATCCCCACTTAGAGATGCTCCATTGCCAACGCCGGCTGGGCCTGCCGATGCTCCCCACCTCCAGCGCTCACTCGGTCATGCCCATGGGGCAAGCCCCTCCCATCACCTCCAAGCCCAAGGGGTTGTCGGCCGGCCCACGGCCCACCGCCAGCGTGGAAGCCCCGAGCGAGATGCTCCACTGCCTCTGCCACGCCGGCAGGGCCTCTTTGGTCATTCCGCACCCCCCGCATCTGGGGCAGTTGCAGCCCAGCAACAGAGACGCCCCCGGCCGCGCCTGGCTGGGCCTCCCCTGCCCGACCCGCACCCTTCAGCTCCAGCAGAGCGGGCAGCCGCATCCAGCCGCCCCTAACCCCAGACTATGTTCCATTCCCGATTCTTTGCGGTAACTTCCCTGTGTTGTGCAAAGCACAGATTGGCTGGGGCTGGACTCCCCTCGGATCCCCACCCCCCGTGGGGCAGACCACGGGGTTTATGCATGTATCCTGGACCGTGACGCCCCTGTCTGCCCCCTCCTGTTCTAGGGACACAAACCGACCCTCTTTGGACCTGGCCAAGACTCTTTCTGTCTCAAGAGGCAACCCATCCTTCCGGCAAGGGCGCACTCCCCTCCCGCCAAAAGTGGCACATGGCCGGAGGATCCAAGCCGTGCCCACCTCTTTATTTTACCCCCGAGCCCTTTGCCACTCCCTGGACGCCACTTGTCTACTCCCCCAACAGCAGAAGGAAAGAACGAGAACTCGGCGGCAGTGCACACAGGGTGACCTTGCCCATCTGTGTAGACGAAAATGTGACTGACGGCGGTACCCCCTCAATAAACCCTGGTCGTGGACCCGGGTACGGCTCCCTTCAAAGATGGCGGGTCTGGTCTGGCTTGCCTCTGCCTGCCATCACGGCTTTGCAAAGCCGTCTCGGAGACTCCGGAGATCCCGTCTTCCCCCCCCCCCACGCTTGCTTTCCTCCCTGCGGGAAAAATCGAAATAACTCGTTCGAGAAATGGGACCATCGGCATCGCGTGTGCGCCGCTGCGCAAACCGGACGGTTGAACTCTTGCCGGCGAGGGAGTACCGGCTTCGTGCCAAGGTGAACAGGCCTGCCGTTGGGCTCCCCGTAAATCCATTGCGGGTGATTGACAGGACTTTTGGGGGGAGGGGGGGGAGGGATTTGGCCCCTCCCGTGGGGAAAAAGACTTTGGGGAGGGAGACAGCCGGGTCCCCTGTCCTGCCTGGCACTCGACTCCAAGAGTTTTTGAATCCCTTCCAAGCAAAGCCACGTTCTCCCTCCAGCTTAGCCCGGCGGGGGTACAATGTGGGGCTGCCTTCGGGGGGGGGTGTCCAAAGGCAGAAGGAACCATTGCTCTCCTCCAGCAGCTGGATTAGAAAGGTCTGACGCTTGCCGGGGGCGACACCAAAGAGGTTGGATTGTGCTGGGGTTGGAAGACAGAGGTGTGTGTGGGGGGGTCCTCGCACAAAGGAGGGTGGGCAGAACGAAGCAGAAGCACTTTAGAATGACCCGTCGGCGCCTGGACTCCCCAACCACGGGGCACCCACGAGGCTGGGTCTCTGCCCTGGCGCGGTATTGCCCGCCGTACTCTGTCGGAAGAACGTGTGTGTGTGTGAGAGAGAGAGAGAGAGTGGGGGTCTGTGCCTTAAGCTGGGGGGGGGCTTCCTGGAAGGAAAGGGGGGGCATATCTGATGCCCGTTGAGCTAGGTTGATGTCGGGCAGAGGGTGGCAGGGATTCTATCCGGGGAACGCGCTAGGGTCTTACGACGAAGGGTGCGGCGGAGTGCGCCAACGACGCAAGCAGGGAGAACCCGTTTCTTAGTTTCGTGCAGATGTGGTGGGGGCAGGAAATTTGATTGGCACACGGCGGCTGTTCATATGCTGCTGGGCGGGTGGGGAGGGGGTGCCCCCCCCGCCGGCAGCTTTGCCAAGGGGAGGCATCCAGCCCTCCAGCCATGAGCTTCCTTTGCCTGCGACTTTTTCCCTGTATGTATGTGTGTGTGTATGGGGTACAGCCAGGATAGAAGCATCCCCCCTTCTCTGCCAGCTGTTGGGCGGTCCCCGAATTCTGGCCTCGGTTTTCCCTAGGTGTCGAAGGCAAAAGCGAGCAAGCGACAAGAGTTCGGGAACGGTTGAGCTCTGTGGCTGGGCTAGAGGTTACCGCTAGGGCAGAGGTCCCCAACCTGCAGTCTTGCGGACCAGTAGCCTGCCAGAAAGTGGTCCGTGCAAACAAGCAGAGCCCCATCCGCACACGCCCGCGTGGGATGCAGGCAGCACGCAAAACTACACACACACACACCAGTCTGTGGAAGAACCACTCTCCACAGAACGGGTCCGCGCTTCCCAAAACGTTGGAGTCCTGCTACGCTAGAGAGACCCTGCTGCCTGCTCCCCTTTATTCCTCGGGGTGCCGGGAGAGCAGTTTTGGCCGTGCGAGATAACGGCTTTGTAGCCCCCCCCTTTATCGTCGTTTCGGCCACCTCTGGGGCCGAGTGTGGTTGCGTACATGCAGCGACGGCGGGATTGCGCGAGGTTCTGTGCCTCCAGCATGGTTTTCCCCTTCCGGAAGGCTTTTCATATAATGTTCCTCTTTCCGGGATGCCGAGGCAGATTGAAAAGGCGAAACGTACAATGTTGCAGCAAAAGAGAGAGAGAAAATCTTAATTTTTGGCTACTGGGGGGGTCTACATTTTTGTTCCGATCAAATACGGCCTGTACGTGAAGATGCTGTGGGAAACGGCGGCGGCACAGTCCCGGCAATCCTGGTGGGGGGTTTCTTGGAAATTTGGTTGTTTAGCCCCCAGTGCGAGGAAAGCGTGGGTGAGATGGAAGAGATGTTTGAAATGGGGGGTGTCCCGGGCTCCCCCGGTCCTTTTCCTCCCTGTGTACGGATTTACACCTTCACGGAGGTGCTTCACCAGCCCTCTTAACCGTGGCCAGCTAAAACCACCATGGCTGCGCCCCCTCACCCCCATCCCCAAAGGATCCTTGTGGGTTCAGAGGGTCTTCTTTGTGGCTCAGGCAGGATGTTTAACAAAGCCACATGGGGCTCCGTGAGGTCATCCAGACGCAGGCAGCAATGCCTTTTCCCATCCCGAAAGAGCACAAGGTTGCCGTTTATAGAGGCGGCACACACACTGGGTGCCAGCGGCAGGACGGTGGGTCCCTTTGGTCGTTTGGGGGAAACGAGGCTGGCAGGGTTGGGGAGGGGAGGGGGTCAGAGGTCAGCCGGGTGGGCAGGCAGGCAGAAGTCTCCCAGCTCCGCTTTCGGGATCCGACCAGTTGGCTAATGGACATCTTTGTTCTCCTGCTGGATCCGACTTCCGGAGCAGCGGGTCAGTTGCTTGCGCTCCGAGCATGCTGCGGTCGTCAATTTTTGTCTGTACCCCAGCTCCTCTCCTGCCCGTCTTCCTCCCAGCATTTAGGGGTGTCCCCCCCTGTGCATGGCGGTTCCCCCCTCCCACCAGCGATATCTTCTTTCACCTTTGGAGACGTGCACAACAGTCATCGCACCGACATCGTTCATCCGCGCCGGACCTTCTCGGTGCATCGAGATTGGGCTCGGCGTTCAGGATCCCGCTCAAGAATTGGGGAGGTGGGGGGTCTTCCCTCCTTACCCATCCCCCCACCCTCTCCCCCCCACACTGGGGCCGTTCACGGCCCGAAGATGAGTTTGTTTTGTGGGGGTTTTTTTGGGTCGGGGGTCCCTGCGAACGGAGCTCGAGCTGCAGATGGAAAGAGACGGTCAAGCGAGAAAGTGGACGGGAGACAGACAGCTGTCCACCCCACCCCACCCTTGGACCCGAGGCCAGGAGGCTTCACCCCCATCACCTCCCCCCACCCCGTGCTTGCATCCCTAGCCTCCAAAAGACCCCTCGCCGGACACTTCATCCCCATTCAACCAGACGGGGCCCGTGGACCCTATCCCAGATGTATTATTATAATTATAACAACAATAACGACGATAATTATGCCTCTTATTTTCTGAGCTATGTTTATTTGCAATAAAGGCTTTCTTACAGTTGTGGGGTGCCTGTTCTTGCGAGGCTGGGGAGGGGGGGCGCAGCTTGGTGGGAAGGGACCACCAGACTTTGGGGGTGGGGGTGGGAAGTGCAGAGAAGAGCAACGAAGAGGATTAAAGGCCCGGAGGCGAAAACGGACGAAGGACGTTCGCAGGAATTGGGCCTGGAGAAAAGGAGGATTAGGGGGGGACACGATCGCACTGTTTCGGTATTTGGGGGGTCTGCCCCAAAGAAGAGGGGGGGTCCACTCGTTTTCCAAAGCCCCTGAAGGCAGGACAAGGAACAAGGAATGGAAACTAACCGAAGCAACTTGGAATTAAGGAGATACTTCCTAACAGTGAGGACCGTTAACCAGTGGAACTGCTTGCCACCAGAAGTTGTGGGTGCTCCCATCACCTGTCCGAAATGGGGTAGGGTCTCCTGCTTAAACAGAGGGTTCGACTAGAAGACCTCCGAGGTCCCTTCCAACTCTGTTTTTCTCTCATTCTGAATGGCATAGGGTCGCCTGCTGGAGCAGGGGGTTGGACTAGAAGACCTCCAAGGTCCCTTCCGACTCCGTTATCCTCTTATTCTGAATAAGGT